AGCTTTTCCTAGTGCCTATGGAAACATTGAGGCTGAGAGAGAAAAATGTAGTTGGCCCCATAGTAGGGGACTGCAGATCCACAGAGCATAGGGCAGGATGCAGCCCTGTGGAAAGAAYTGKGACAGTGACTTGCTCTAGCTTCTCTCCTTCTTGGTCCCTGGCTCATGGCAAGAAGTTGGGTGAGGATGGTGGGAGGCACGTTTTGATGGGAGGACATGGATATGGTACAACCCTCTATTGAGGCTCTGGCTGAACCCAGTCATGGGGACCCATGTGACTGAGGGGAAGTAGGTCAGGCCTGACTCTTCCTGTTAGTCCAGAAGATGCCATGGGACTAGCAAGTACACCAGATCTGCTATCCTTGGGAATCAGTCAGGACCAGCCTCTCTCTCAAATKCTCAGGGAGTTTAGAATTCCATAGATGCCTCAGGCCTGATTATGTCATCCTAGAAGCTTCTGACACAGGGTGAGTTGGGTGGTGGGTCAGTGCTCATTAGGTAAGCAAGGCTGTCCCTCTGAAACTCTCACTGGTTTCTCTGAACCCAGAGGCAGAGCTCCTGTTGTTCCAGGGAGTTCAGGTACCCCTTAGGTTCTGGTGACTTGAGAGAAGTTTGGAGGTCAGTTTCCCTCTTGGCAGTGTCTACTACTTATAACTCACCTCCACTGAGACATCAGGCAGGATAAATCGTGTCTGATGAATTGGGACAGTGACTTCTTGTTCCCAGCCAAGAGACCCGTGTCACAGGCTTATTTCACTTAGGTGRAGACCCTTCACCAAGCCATGGGATCATGCCAAACATAAGTAACTTGTTATACAAACCCCTGAAGCTGAACTCTTACCCCTCAATGCCATTCAAAGTGTTGCTGGCATTGGTGGCCAGCTGCAATACTCTGTGACAGCCTAACCACACCTTCAGGTCTATCTCCTTTGTGCTTCTCTAAAACCTCAACAATCCACATGGTTGTTCCCTTCCTCCAACCTTCCCCTGCTATTCACATCATGTGTCTGACTTTTAATTTAGTTTTTTTACTTAAAGTTGGGTCCATCAGGACAGTCCCTTTGAGTTGGAAGAGGCTGCCATGCATGTTCTCCCGTTTTCTGCTGACAGCAACTCTCCTGGCCCAGTAAGACTAGTGTCTCTTGGACAACTCCCAGTGGGCACAGAGCTGGCACTCACATGAAGAAAGTCTTCAGTGACTTGAGAGGTTCATTCAATAGAAGGGAATSAGTTTTACTGCTGCCAGATAGACATAGTCAAARGCCAGAGCTACAAGGAGGCCAAGRAAGGCCCAGGATGGAAATGTTGTCATGGTAAAGTGATGAGGGAGTCCTGGGCTCTGAGGAAGGCCATCCAAAGATGCCAACCCCAACACTGGTTGAGGGCTTCCTGCAGGAACCAGATCCTCTGCCTCTGGAAACACAGAGAAAGGACTTCAGCTTGGCCATGAGCTCTAACTTCTGTTCTCACTCCCCAAACCTAGTCAACTGCTCTAGATCACTCAGTAAGGAAGCTCCCATTCTGCTGGAGGCCTTTGGGTACCATATTCCCTTGGCCTGGAACATTCGCTGTCTTTCTYACCATCCATACCTTGGTTCACCAGGTACCACTGCTTTCAAGTGAGGGATGACTCTGTTGGAAAGTTCACTTCTGACCAGGAAGGAAGCCCTCAACTTGCTTGCCTTGTGTTCTCCCTGGTATTTAGCCTGTTGTTACTCACAGTGGGGTTCCCAAAACTGATCCTGCATTCCCTGAATGCCTGTTGAAAAYAAGGGTGGACACAGACAATTATGTATCCAACACCTGTGTTTGTGCAATGGGGAGGGCATTGTTGGGTCAAGGGGTGATCTAAGAGGAGAAGGGATATGAAGTAGACCCTCAGACTGCATAACTCTACAAGATCAACAAGGAATTTGCCATGAGTTCTGGTAGAAACTGTGCAAATCCAAAGGTTCTTACACAGACAACGTAGGGTGTTGCTAGAATCTCAAAGAGGGATTAATGGGGACGATAGGCCACTGTAGTCCAAGGCCTCTATTCAGCTGAAGAGGATGTTTTGGGATTTGATGTGAGTGGTGGTGGCACAACATGGTGAATATACCATTGCCACTGGTTTTACACTTTAAGTCATCTAATTTCATGTTATATTGTTATCATCTAAAAAATTTGAAGCATAGAGAAGTGTTTAAATGTCCCTAAATCCATAAGGAGGAATAAGGATTAAAGAGAGCGGTGATGTTGAAGTTTTCAAAGAGGTAACCATTATGCATAGAACCAGTGGGCACTGCCACTTTGACCCCAGCTTCCCTAGTTATGGAAAAGRGTCACAGAGGAGAAGACATATTTTGGAGGTACAACTATGATTTGAACCTAAATCTGTTTGACTCCTAAATTCATATTTCCTCCAAAAGGTAGGCCTGCCCTCAGGGCGAACCTCGTAGTGGGGAGCCTGAGCATAACCAATTTGGGGACTAGCTGCAGAATACAATGTTGCAAATCCAAATATGAATTCTTGGAAGGGGCCCTGTAAGGGAGGGAGGGACATGGAAGCTTAGGTTTTGTAGCTTCCCAGCAAATGAATTTCTTTGACTACAACTTAGATTTCATAAGCTGCCCCAAGGCTTTGAGGCAGTTTGGTGGCCTCCTTCCTGAGGCCATGGCTTCCTGGACCCCTACATCCTACTCCATCCCATCCCCATATGGTACTGTGAGTCATCCACGTCCTGCCCAGAGCTTCACATTCACTATACCTACACCAGGCCTCCTCAGAGAACTCCAGGCCTCAGTCAGTCCCACACTCTCCAACACAGAAATTGTGCCCTGTGGTGTTGCAGTCCCCAGGCCTCCTCTTTTGCACATGGCAGCTGTCTACTGTTGGGTGCCCGTCAGCTGGATGTCAGCATTGCTGGTGGCTGAAAAGGACTCCTGCAGCACCACAGCAGTTTCAAGAGCATTGCTCAGTGAGTGAATGAAGGAGAGGAGAGGCTGCAGAGGAGGTGAGCGTGGGGACTGCCTAGAGCCTTACCCAGACCAGTAAAGCTGAGCAGAGAGAAGCCCAGCTGGAAAGCACCTTGTTGCTGAGCCAGGGAACCTCATCTGTTGCCTGTGAGGAGAACCTGAGGTTAGCGGCACAGTGCTCAGACTCCTAGGTGTGGGAGAGCACTGGGGTGGACCCCAGAGAGCCCTGGGTGGGCTTTGTGAGAGATGCTGTGACCTGAGGTGCCAAGCTTCCTAGGGTTGGAGCCAGGGGCTGCTCCAGATCCTGCTGACCCCCACCCCACAGTTTCATTTCCCAGTCTTCATGAAGGTGCATGGACTTGGGCTCCCTGCATGGTCACAGCCCAGCAACGTGCCCTTGGGATTTTTGATTATGAAACATTCATGAATCTGCCAATGAGGTGGCCACCCATATTGGCTACCCACAGGTGGGCAGACCCTGGACATTCTCTCCTGAATGCCAGCTGGAGGCTGAGGGCTGAGGCTGCCCTGGTCACTCTCAGCTTTGGGGAAGCCAGTGAGTGGAGGGGTGCATAGTTGTAGGACTCAGTGTTGAATGGAGTCCCACAATATTTTAGGGATCTGAAGGCTGCACTGTCCTGTGTGCTTGGCCCTTTGCCTTCCCAGCAAACTAATCCTTAGCACTGGGGAAAGGAGGCTTTGGTGAGACTTCTAATTTGGAAACAAGATTTTTGAAATATATGCACCTTGGTGGGGGCTCAAAGTCCTGGGGACATGAGTACTGATTGTCATAGGGTGTTATCTACATGTGCCAATAAATTTAGAGAGCCCATAATATTCTAATGAGGTTGGAGGCTGTGAAGTCAGATTTTTGTTGCTGCAGTTAAAATACCTGACAAGAACAACTTAGGGAAGGAAAGATTAATTTTGGCTCATGTTTTCAGAGGATCCAATCAACGGTCATCTTGTTCTAAAGTAGAAACCGGATGGAGATGAGTCATGGCAGAGGTAAGCTGCTAAACTCCAGCAGCCAGGAAGCAAAGGAGAGAGAGGAAAGGGTGGAGGAAAGACAAACCCCTCTAGGGCACGCCCCCAGTGACCTACTTCCTATTACTAGTTCCCACCTCCCAGTAGTTCATTCAGATGTTAATGGTTTAATCCACTGATGAGGCCAGAGCCTTCATGAGCCTAAAAGTCCCACTCAAAACCTTGCTACATTGACTATGCTATCAACACATGAGCTGTTGGGGAACATTCCAGATTCAAACCTTACTATTCCCACACCCCGACACACACGCTCAAAAATCTTCCTTTAATGGACTAATCCTTTGATAGCTGAATAGACTACTGGGAGGTGGATCCCGGATGGAGGAAGTAGGTCACTGGGGGCGTGGTGGGAAGGGGTATTATTCTCCCAGGCCCCTCTTCACTCTCCGTCTCACTGTCTCTCTTTCTGGCCCTCTATCAGTTTCCCGACTGCTTTGAATTCATCAGCTTTCCTCTGCCACAAACTTCTACTGTGATATTTCTGCCCTGGAGCCAGCTGACAAAGGACTGAACCTTAAAACCGTGAGCCAAAATAAATCTTTCCTCATCTAGTTGTTGTTCTCAGGTATTTTGATCACAAAATGAAAAGCTGACTCACACAGAGGGGTGGGGACTGTATATATCAGTGTTTTATATAAATCATTCTTTTAAATTTCAAAACAACTGTGGAAGGCTGTTGTTATTTTACCCTGTTCTGCAGAGGAAAACAACAGAGGCTCAGAGGTTAAGTGACATGCCCAAGGACACATAGCTAGAAATGGAAGGAACCAAGGTTCCAACATCCAGCAGGTGTTTCTGATCCTACACCTCCTTCCACTGGTGGTGGCCTGCTTCTTTTTGGGCCACAGTAAAGACACACAGTTGAGATGTCTCCTAAGTTCTGGGGAGGTCTGGGACACTCACATGGCTTCTTCTCTCTCCTCCAGGGATGCAGGGAAGGCATGCATGAAGGTTTAGCTGTCACTTGTGGAAATTGCAGACACGGAAGTCTCCCCATGGCACCTCATCACATCCGCAAATACCAGGAGACTGACCACAAAAGGGTCCTGGAGTTGTTCTCCCAAGGGATGATCGAGCATGTCCCTGCCACCATTCACCACATGCTGAAGTTGCCACAAACATTCTTGCTCTTACTTGGGGTGCCCATCGCCCTACTCCTGGTCTCTGGCTCTTGGCTCCTGGCTCTTGTATCCAATGTCACCCTCCTTGTTTTCCTATGGCTGTTGGCCAGACAGCCTTGGAGGAAGTACGTGGTGGTGTGTTTCCAGACAGATCTTGCAGATATCACCAAATCCTACCTGAGGGCCCATGGTTCCTGCTTCTGGGTGGCTGAGTCTGGGGGCCAGGTGGCAGGCATAGTGGGTGCTCTGCCAGTGGAGGATGCCCCCCCAGGGAGGAAGCAACTGCAGCTGTTTCACCTCTCTGTGGCCTTGGAGCACCGAGGTGAAGGACTAGGGAAAGCCCTGGTCATGACTGTCCTCCAATTTGCGAGGRCTCAGGGCTRCAGTGAGGTTGTCCTTGATACTAGCATAGTACAGCAGGCTGCTCTGACYCTCTACCTGCGCATGGGCTTCCAGAAGACAGGAGAGTACTTTTATAACACGGTCTTTAGACTAGTGTACCTTTCTACCATTCGTTTAACATACTTCCTCCCATCTGCTCAGGAAGGAGGCCCATGAGCTATTGTCTCGTGTATCAGTCAGGATCTGATTGACAATCCTGTAGCACAAGCAAACCCTGGCATTTTGGTAGAACAAATGATGAAAACTCGTTGCCGGTGAACATCTGAGTCCAACATGTTTGATGGTGAGGTGTGGGGGCTTCTATTCCATTCAGTGCTTCTAGGTACAGTGATTCATTTGTCTATCACCACAGTAATGTATAAATAACAAGCCGAGATGATAATGTGCACACACGTTGCTTGAGTCTGTGAGCCAGTTTTCTTCTGGTCTGTGCTGGGCAGCTCTCTGGGTCTCAGGATACCTATGGAAATGTCCTGGATAGACTGCAGTACCAGTGACACTGTATGTAATCTTGTCCCAGCAGGCCAGCTCAGGCAGGGTTTAAAGTCATTTCAGAGCAACCAAACCAAAATGAGAAAAGAACAAAGACTTCTCCATGTCCCCACAGGTGACACTTGTGGAAACATCCCAGACTCAGGAGAGATGAGACTGGTTCAGTAGTGGAGGAGCTGCAGAATCACAGAGCAGAGGGGCACAATGTGGCCCTATGAGAAGAACTGAGCAGAAATGCACTCACTCTGGTGTCCTGTCCCTGCAGAGGGGTGGAAAGGTGGCTGTGGATGGAGGGGGATGTTTCCATCAGGAGACCTGGGTATGGTGCAATCCTGTGGTGCAGGCAGGGCCCATTCCCATGGGCCAGCTTGACTGAGGGGAGGTCATGTATGGAGCCTTCCTATGTATCCTGAAGGAGTCATAGTGAGGTGAGTGTCCCAAAGTTTACTTGGATTGGCACCCAACCTGGTCCCAGACACTGTCCCCAAATGCTCACAAACTCCAGATTTTAAAAGGTACCTCAGAATAGATCCTCCTGTACAAGGAAGAGTTGGGACATGGGTCAGTGCTGATGTTTTCAGGACTGTTGCCCTTTCCCATCTGTTTAGGATGGGAACTCTGGCATGTTCATGGCCACCTGGAGCCTCTTACTTGATCCGTCCAACTCAGAGGCACAGTTCCAGATCTGGTGAATCCCAGAAAACCTTAGTTACCTTTTGATATYTGGGCAGCATGGGAGATATTCCCCTTCTCTGGCATTTCTCCTGTCCCCCTGGGCCACAGCTTGTCCAATCCTGGCATCCAGCCTTGTCATACACCCATTTCCCCTACACAGAAACCTTTAAGTATTCTCGTGGAGGGGGGTCCATGAGTGACTAGTTATTCAGGACCACAGCCTCAACTTCCCACTGCCCCATCCTTTTCTCCTGCCCCTGGTCTTGAAGATCAAACATAGAACCCTCTTTCAGCTCATCCCTCTCCCTCAGGCCTGCCTCCCTGTGCTATCATAGAAAAAAGAAATCACACCTGTTTTCCTGACCCTCCCCATTCCCACAACCTTGTGACACACATCAGGTGTCTGTGGCCTCCTGAGTTGTGCATGAGTCTTCAGAACACCACTGTGAGGTCAAGAGGAGGAAGTTCTGCAGGTTCTCCAGACTCTGCTGCTACCAGTTCCCTTCCCCAGTGAGACCAGGGTCTAAGGGGYAGTGCCCAGAGGCTAAGATTCTGAGGGAGGTTTACAGTGTTCCCAGTGTTTTGAAAACTCTTAAGAAAATGGTTTTTCTCACCCACATGTTCTTGGTATCAGGACATGTTAGGGCTAAGAAGCCTGAGGGGTAGAGGGGGAAGTAAGAGMCCAGGATGGAAACACTGTCACACTGGACTGATGGGAGTCCAGGGCACTGAGTACAACCCCATCACTGGTGGAGGGCTCTATCAGGGGCCAGGAATCTCAGAGACAGGACTGCAGCTTGGTCTTCCCCTGCCCCAGCACTTCCACTCACATTCCAAACACAGCCAGCTGCTCTACTGAGCTCCAAAAGGAAGCTCTCATTCTGTTGGAGGTTGTGAACAGAATGCACCCTTGACCTGGAACACTCTCCTTCCCTCTTCCCAACACATACCTTTGTTCATTCAGCAACCATGCTACCCAGAATTGACTGGGCAGGAAAATACCATTTGAGCAGGGAGGAAGCCTTTCATCCTGCTTGCATTCTGGCCCTCATTGAAATTTCATCTGTGGCTATTCACAATCAGGTCCCCACATCAGCTGCCAAGTTGCCTGGAATCCTGCACAAACAAGGGTGAATACAAATCCTATTATGTCCACAATACTAACATTAGCTTCTGGGTGTTCGTCCTGGACAGTCTCTTTCTGCCTGCACATGGTGGCCAGGTTCCCAGGAGGAGAGGGCAGGAGTGTTCTGTGCCTCCTGAAGCTCCCAGGCCTGGTCACCATTCTCTCAGGCCAGAGCATTATGGAGTCAAGGAGTGGGTTCCATGAAAAAGGGAGAAAACAGGAACCTCAGACTGTTGTACTCTACTAGATAAGCCAGTTTTGGCCATGAGACCTGAAATAAAATGTGCAAATACAAATGAGGTTGTGCAGACAGCTTGGGGTGTTACAAGGAATGGGGAGAAGGAGCAGTGGCAAAAAATGCCTGCTGGAGTATTAGCGTCCTCTTGGGTAGGTGGCAATGTTCGAGGACTTGATAAAGACGGTGGCAGCACAACATTGAGAATGAACCAAATGGCACAGCTTTTATACCTTAACTAGGTTAATTTTATGTAGATTTCATCTAAAAATTTAGAAGAAAATAGTTTAGATGATTCTAAAAGCATTTAAATGGACACAGAGAATAGATGTCAAGGGGTTTTCTTAGGGAGGGGGGCTGCTGTGAATGGTGCTGGTGGGTCCTGCCACTTTGACCCAAGTTTTACCAATTAGGGACAGGGTTGAGAGCATTTCTAAAGAAAATGCTCACAAAAAGATTAGAGGACCACTCTTCCCCCCCCCCTCTCTCTCTCTCTGTGTGTGTGTGTGTGTGTGTGTGTGTGTGTGTGTGTGTATGATTTTATTATTAGCTGCTGGGTATTGAACTCAATGACTCATTCACACCAAGCTAGAACTCTAGTATTGAATTACACTCCAGCCTCCCCAAGCTCCTGTTTTATTGTCTAGCCATGCAGAATGCGGCCTTTTATTTTTTTTTCCCTTGGTCGTTACCCTGGCTCTGAGAGCAGTGAGACTCCTGGGTCATGCCACCTGGCCTCTGGAGCTAAAGACAAAGTCTTTACAGAGGTAAAATTTCTCTTTCTCAATACCAAGCCCAAACTACAACACCACCACTATCAACTTGCTGAGTATCGTGTATGAATGGTCTGCATGTTTCTTTCTAGAAGATCCTCAAGAAGTGAAATGAAGGTTATACTAGGTAGCTCCCAGGGCTGGGGTTTTCATTTTCCCTGTTCCCTTACATAGGATTTTTTTGGCAGCTACTCACYGTCACAAGCAAGATGTGGCTCATAAGAGCTTTTGCTTCCAGGCCACACACAAGCCCCTTATTGATTCATGCTGACAYGATCTGCAGCAAATGCCCAATTCCAGCCAGCTTTCCAGGAGGCTCTGGGACTCCTCCCATAACAGTAATGACAATGAACTTTAACTGGGAAGTCTCTGAACTGGACGATATTTCACAAATGATCAGGTTTGACAGTTTGGACCTCTTGACTCACAGACACATTTAAAGAAGTAGCCTCAAAAATAAACCCAGAAAGCTGGCTCAGCCAAACCAGGAGAAGAAATTCTGCCTTGAAGTGAGATGGCCCACAGCTTCCTTAAAGCACAACCATAAAGCTGAGGGCTCAGGAAAATCTGTCCCTGTATTGTTCTCTGAGGCTGCCCTCCACTCAAGTGCAGGACCTTTGCAAATCCCTACTGCACTTGGGAATGCCCACACTGGTAATAACTGCCCCGCCTTCACTCCAAACCTGCACCTGTCTTCATCTCCCTGTCTCCATCAACTAGCTGAGAAAAAATGTATACACATGGCACCAGGGAAGCAAGGTCAGCCAAGGTCTGAGCAGACATGCTGTTTGTGCCAGTTGTGAAGTTGGCAGGGAAACTCCCTCCCATATAATTCATTCTGGGGGTTTCCTTGGTTATTGGCTATAACCTCCCACCCAGGAGCACTGAGGCCCTGGATTGGACTAAAAGGAGGAAAGAAGGACAAACACTGCAATCTGTTCTCATTGCACAGCATGTGAATGTGTTTAATGTCTCTGGTCTGGGCAATTAAAAATGCCACCAATGGAAAATGGAATGCTCTCTACATTCTATACCAATGATACAAGGACACATCTTACTGACGATGCTGCTGTCATAGTTTAAGCTCTACAGAGGATGGTATGTGTCAAGAACAAGAAAGTAGCCTGAGAAAGTGAAGTCAATGCTCATCGACCAAATGTGTGGTACTGTGCTACACAGGGGTGACAGTGGCAACCAGCTCCAGGTCTGTCAGTAATCTGTGGCCTCCATGGAGTCAGTGCAACTTCATGGAGATCAAGGTCCAATTTGACTCTTTAACTTGGAAAATATATTTGYTTCAGGAAACCAATGAGAAAACAGTGGAAAACCCACTCAATGTTCAGAGATGATAAACTTATAACATGCTCTCTGGTTTCCTCCTAATTCTTTCCCGAACACCCCTCATCTCCACCATCCACCTCTTGTTTCTKCCTATCCCATAATAAGCACAACCAGAGACAGTGCAGAGTGGAGCCCAGAATATGCATAGATACAGAATATTGGGATTTCTCTTCTTCACAGGCCACTTCACTTATGCACAGTGTTGACGACTCATCCTCAACCACTGTATCCTGCAGGGCACCCAGTTTCCTGTCTATGTTTATAGGCAGTTTTCAGTGACATGAACCCTCAGGACCTGGGCTCACAGTGTTCCTGCATCTGCATTGAAGTGTTGATTCCTTGGGCTCAAAGGGCAGCCAAGGATGGATTTTACCTGGACCAGGAAAGTTTGGGCAGGAAGAAGCAGAGCTGTGTAGTACATTGTTGCTGAGTCAGGGAACCTGAATACTTGCCCAGGGTGAGAGACCCCAGGGTGAGAGGTGCAGTGCCCAGGTTGCTAGCCTGTATGTGCAGT